AAAAACGCGTTTTTTCGTACAATCAGGGGCCATAATTCAGGAAGTTACGGTCCGATATGCGCGAATATCAAAAGGAACCACGATCTTTGGGTTATAAACTTATATTTCAAGTTTCAACAAAATCGGATAAAAATTGTGACCTCTATAGGGTCCAAAACCTTGATATACCATATTTTTACGCTATTTGAGAACGAACGGCGGCCATTTTGTCTGTCAGTTTTGGGCCGATTTTCACTAAATTCGAACACACCCGTCCTTAGGGTGTAACGGTGATATAATAATACGTTTTGTTAAATCGGATAAAAAATTATGACCTCTATAGGGTCCATAAGCTACAAACGGAATTTTTCGTACAATCAGGGGCCTTTTAAACGGTCCGATATGCGCAAATATCGAAAGGAACTGAGATCTTTGGGTTATAATCATACATTTCAAGTTTAAACTCAATTGGATAAAAATTGTGACCTCTACAGTGTTCACAAGCTAAAAACGTATATTCCCCACCCCCAATCACAAAATAAAAAAAAGAGCTATTTAAATTTTTTTTACAAGTAACCTTAAAAAGAACTGAGAATATAATAGATATGTACACAATATCCCTACCACATGCTCCCAAAACATACATTTTAAATATGTCTAAATTTAATAACAACCTAACCAAGCACTAAAGACATTAATTATGCACTAAATTGAAATATTTTACGAAGAAATATTCCCCTTTGACAGATTAGGAATTCAAAATTGTCTACAGTATATAAAAGGGAACTAATAGATAAGGTACAGGACAAATAATTATAGATAGATAAAATAAATATAGCATAAAAAAACCATATAAAATGGAGAAATTTGTAAAACAAAAATTGATGAATAAAACCATTTCATATAAAAGTGGCATTAACATTCGAAATGTTCACTAAATCTTTAAACATAAAGGTTGATTTCATCCTACATTAATTATTTTATAATTAATTAATTCCTCTTTAATAATTCAAATTTTCAGGCCAAATTCGTAGTGTTTAGGATTACACTGCAGTCTATATAATGAAACAATATTTAGAGATGGTTTGGTATTTGACATTAAAAACAATAAAAAGTGATTAAAAAGGCAATGGCGACAAATAACTTTTGGGTTTTCACAATAAGATGTATAACAGAATTTGATGACTCTATATATTTAGAATTTAGAGTTGTTTTCTTTCTTTGGTATTAATCTTTACTAAATATATAGATGTACTTCTCCAAGGATGTTCACGTCTCTGAAAAATATAAAGTGATGATTATAGACAAAATGAAGGGCTGGGAGCCATTTTGACCTATGTCACACATAGGTCAAAATAGAAGTGTGGTATAATAATACAGCTTTATGTGAGAGTTATCAGTTATAACATGGTTTATAAACATTGTATTACTATTGAGTATGTAGTGACCTAATGAAAATTGGTGGAGCATGTCAAAAAACCTATGTCTGACTTAGGTCATTATGGCTCTAACTATCTTGTGCTTAGGTTTTTTATTTGCTCTATACTCTCTAGAAAAGAAGGCTTACAGTTGTAATGTGCCAAAACTTAAAAGTATTGCCTTGATGTGATATGATGAACAATTGAAATTATACTGCATATCTGGTATGTTAAATAATTAAATTACAATAGAAATGGTCATAAATTATCGTTCATCTCTGATAATTTGTTCGTTTGTGCTTATAAAACGTATCTATGACAATTAATACAACTAATCAATTAGGTTATAATGGTCCCCAATAGCTTTCTATAGGCACTAGGCCCATGTTTAATACTTCTGGAGATTACAAGGCTCTGTCATGCCAGCCCACTCCGAAATCTTGCAGGTTTAATATAAAATATATCATAAATATTTAATTTCTACTTTTATTATAACAATGGACAAAATAGATACATTTACAACTTTGGAAGTACTTAAATCCATTTTTGATGAAAGTCCAAACACCAGTTCTGACGATGGATCGGATCAGGATGATGTACCGGCTATTATTGATTTCCTTGGTGAGACTACAGAGGATACATTTCAAATCCGTACACTCTCCAAAGATGAAGTGATGTCGATGATAGATATTGATAGTAACAACTGTGAAGTTAAACTATTGCCTGAACACGAACCAGAAAACACGAATAAAGATCCAGATTATTTCCCTGATTCTGGATCTGAATCTTGTTCATCCGACGATCCAGCTCCAAGCACTGATCCAGCACCGTCCACTACTCCAGTACCGCCCACTACTTCAGTATCGTCCACTGATCCAGCACCGTTCATTAATCCAACAGCATCCAAGGGCACAAAGCCACCTAAGGACAATGACGAGATTAGAATGAAGAAATATGGTAAAAAGAGAATACCTATCCAGAAGGTTGGCTAAAAACTAACAGGAAACGCAAAAGACATAGTGGTGAAGAAAACTTCAATGTAAGGGGAAATCTGGTTAAGAAGAAAACTCTTATGCTTAGGCATTGTCGATCAACGAATGGGCGATGAGGCTCATATTATATTTCAGAATTTCTACAGCATGGGAAATCAAACTCTCAAGATCTGTATTTATTCGGACTGATTGACAAGAGTGCTTTTAAACTGAATAAAAAAACCGTTTCTTCACAACAAAACACCTAGAAAGCGTTAGTGTCCTATGAATTATTTTGTCAAATTGATTGATGGAACAAGGCTTAAAATATGCAATGTGTGTCTCCTGTCTGTCCATGGAATTGGTCGCTCTCGCCTTCGGCGCCTTCTTAGTGGCAAGGATGGTATCTCCCCCAAATTGGGACAACACCGGTCATCACACACCGTCTACTAAAACCCCAATACATGTATTGGATAGTATGAGAAAGCACATTCAATCCTTTGAAGCTAGAAAATATCATTATTCGCCTAATGATAACCCTGATAGAAAATACCTTCCGGATAACCTAAATATTAAACGAATGTGGAGACTATTTATAAAAAATAGGGAGCCTGAAAAATTTGAACAGATGTTGAAAGGAGTAGATTATAATAGCGAGAATAAACATTGGTTGTATAGAAGAATCTTCCTGTCTGAGAATAACTTATCATTTGGTTTCCAAAGGACTGGCACCTGTGGAATGTGTGACCTTCTCCAAGCATCAATAGTATCTGCAAAGGATGATAGAGAACGACGGGAATTAGAAGCTGAAAAAGATCACCATCTTTCAGTTGCTAACAATGGCCATGAAGACATGAAAACTGACCGTGAATTGGTCCAAAGCAGTTGGTCGCAAAATGAACCGGGGCGAAATTTTTACATTGTGCCAGCCTGTGCATACAACAGCACGGATATGTATTTGTTTGATTTTCAACAAAATCTTATGATTCCTAACTTCACTCATGGGGATATATATTACAGTCGCCAGCTTAATGTGTTTATTTTGGCATACACGATCACGAGGATGGTATAATATGCATATATGACGAAACAGTGACGAAAAAGGGTGGTTCTGATGATGCTTCATGCCTTTTAAAAGCCTTGAAAATACGTCAAACTGGAGCAAGAAATATGATTTGCTATTCTGATGGGTACGTGGAGGACAGAATAGAAACCATTACATGGTTTGTTTCTTCCAGTACCTCATACAGTTAGGAAAATATGAATCTATTCAGCAAAAGATTTTGCGAATGACCGTGACTGATAAAACAGATGCTGAATGTCAGCCAGGTTGTTACACCAGTAGATTATAGTAACATCCAGAATTCAGCCATCCCCCTTTGAGACCATTGAAATGACTTCAGCAGATTTCTTAGATTTTCAAACACGTTCAATGTCAAGCATAAAACTAACCTTTCGGGATCAACATGGTGGTGACAGTGAAGTTTTCTAAAGTCAGATGGTTTAGTTATGGGGCCACTGAAGAATATAACTTGAAAGATGGACTCAACTACACAGTCTGTCATGAAAATGAAGTTTGGTGCAGATATACATTCGACACCAAAGAAGAATAGAAGAAGGTGAACATTCTCAAAAGATCTGCTTTTGCAAAGGAACTACTGTGTCAAAAATATGCCTCACTAATTCCACTGTCCGCTTCTAAGTGGAAAGATCTGGAAAAGATAATTCCATTTATTACAGACCCCGAGAGGAAAACACTGTTCTTATCTTTACCCCATGATGCAGTGCACCTAGAAAACTTTCAAGATACTGCTGGTAGTGATGATGACTACTGCGATGACAGTGACTGAACTGCTGTGACTCAATCGTTATCATGTACCATAATCAACGAGAATGTTTTAGTTGTTTATTTTCTCCGTTTAAAAGTATTCGTGTTTGTTTAATTTATTTCCGGTTAAAAGATTAAATATGAATGATTAAATCTACTAGTGCCGATATTTTGTGTTGATCTCTATAACACTTATGTTGGTTCCGCGTACTAGATAATGTTATATGACCAGTTGACATCCCCATACAGATTAACCGTGGAAGATGATAAGTATAGAAGATAGTAATGGAAGCTCTTCATGTTATGATGTCTTATTGTGTTACTAAACACTGATATAATATATTATTTAAAGTATTAAGAGTTACGGGGACTATAGGTATATTGGAAAATATCCTTTTTTAAACTTTTCTGAATGTAATGATATCTGCTAAACATTCCATCACCCGTCCAGTTTCACAGTTCTTTCACCGTTTTCGCAACACCCCTGAAAATCGACAGGGTTGTCCTCTTAGGCCCCAATGCTTCACTTAATTTGTAGCGTCTATAACTCAACAAACCAAATCTTGATTGACGAACCGTAGCCATTAAATACTTCTCAGTAGAACAAATCATTGAATATCCAAATGCATTTAAATGAAATTAGTGTGACATGATTTTACTGTGTATTGTCATATACGCTATACAGTAACCTATTTAATGCTCTTTAACAAATTATAGAGTATTTATTGAATACAATAACAGATCACGTGACTCCTTTGTGCAATAATTTAAATTTTAACAACATACAGTGGGCTGAATCGATTAATGTCGGTTTTATTGAATATAACGGTGTAAAAGTTTTGAGAATTTGTTAAAGACTAAATTCGACTAATTCTAGTTCAACTGGATTAATACCTCGCGAGATTTATATTTTGTAATGGCCGTTGAGTTCAATATGACGTATTACCTGCTCTTTTTAATTTCGTTTAAACAAGGTAAAGTGTTGTTTATTCAAAACCTAGTAGTTTCATAATGTTAGGCACTGTTTATTTATAATGTCCGACCAAGTCCTAGTATACTTATAATGTTAGATCCGTGGTATACCTACCTAGTAGATTCTTAATGTTACAGGTATGATAATAAGTGATTGACCTAGTGATATGTGGTCATAACGGCCCTAAACCATAACGGGCAAAATAAACGTTGGTCAGAGCGGGCAAGAGTTTGGTCTAAAAGGCCCAAAAGATATTTTAAAAACGATATATTTTACAAAACAGTATACTTCCTTAATAAAAATCCCAAGATCTACTGGCTATTTATTATTTATTTATAAAAATAGCAATATGGTTTCAACTAATCAACATAATGAATTAAAAGGCTATATTGCCAACCCAGAAATTTTCTTGCTGATTTTCAAAGGAAGCGTGAATGCCAATAAATCAACTGATTGGTTAATCCCAAATATAGTACTTCACACTCTTCTAAGCTATTTCAGATTGGTTATCATTTTGATAATCAGCTATCTAAAGACTTCATGTGTGCCGATATCAAAGACAAACTACTAGCCAGTTATTATTATTAGCTAAGCCCTGATGTCGGGTGAAAATGGTGCCACTATGGTATATTATGCTTCTAACACTGTTTATTTAATAAATATTTACGTATTAATATGAGCTGAAAAAACGTCACAGCTTACATTACTTATATTCATCAACAATAAAAAAATTGTTCTTTAGGATTTATAACTTCATCATAAATTGAAAGGTCTAATTGATATTGTAAATTTGGAGAGAGAGAGAGATTTTCTATGTTGAAGTATGTTTTTTCATTTGCCGACTTTGCTATGTTAGATTGGTGTATATAAATATCATTGTGATGAGAATGAATAACAAATATTACTTGACCAAATCGTTGGACCAGTATGGGCTAAGGCCGTTGTGTCTTTTACCCGTATATTTATATGGTCACAAGTTTGATAATAAGAGGTCAACCTTGTGTTCATCGCTCCGTCCTACTCCACTAATAAAATAAAACCAAGTACGAACAATCCAAACCATAAGACAGAATTCGAAGTCCTAAAAACAAACCATGGGGCCATTGACAAGATTTTCAAGAATCCAAACTATCTGCCCTTCATGAGTTCATTGTTCTCGTAAGTTGATTCTACAAACCAATCAAAAAGCAGTTTACTGTCACCGCAATACAGCAGCTCTCACACTCGATTATGTGAATGTTTGCAAGAGATCTAAGATCAAACAAGTGACATGTACGCAAAAGAATGTCCTAAAATATTTTGACATAGTTTGCAACCACGATTAAGCGATCTCGGTTACTATAACAGGCGAGTTACTTAGTTACTTCCCGTCGTAAATTCGGTTTCGATTTATATAAAATTTATAGAATATTTTAATTGGTCGATAAAAAGTAGCATAATTATCAAGGGCGATAATTTGACTATGTGTCGCCTTCGTGAATGGATCCAGGGTTTAATGGAGGAGAACAGAACATTTTCACTGGGAATATCGAGTAAGCCTTGTTATGTATATTAACTTTCAAACGTGAGCTCAACCCTGAAGCAAGGGCACTTATGTTAAAAGTAGGCTTTATTTCGTTTATATGTGATAACAACACAATCTTTTTACTTTTTATTCACACGCAGTGTGTAGATCACTTATGCATCTAACTGTATGTACAGATAATTCCTGCTTCTTCTAGACATTCGTATGGAAGGAAGCCTATAACTAACATTCATAATTTCCACTTTTCGCCTCTTCAAAACACGAAAGTCGAATAGTAGAAGTTAGAACAAAATGTGAGGCGACAACAGACTATACAAGCCAAAATCAACTCGAAAATAGGAAATTAAGAAATAACTCACTGCTATAATAGTATGGCGGTATATTAGATTCAAAATTCTAACATGCTATCGTCTAATTTCTTACTTCTACTCATGTAATTTCTAACTTCTATTCATGTAATTTCTAACTTCTATTCATGTAATTTCTAAATTAATACAATGTATAATCCAACTTCTTTATTTGTTCAGTGTAAATTTTAATTCTGTTTCATCTTATTTCTATTATTAAGGCGATAAATGTCTAGTCGCTTTACATGTTAAGCATGAACGGCAAACAAATTTAGAATTTTGATACTTCTCCTTTGCAACCATCATTATGACGTCGTTTGGTGTCGCCACCGTGTGGCGATGGGGTTTAACGTCCACTCGACACAATCTAGATTCGGTATTAACATGGTATTAGCACGCGATAACCATTCGGCCACCCCCCCCCCCCCCAAACAACATTGAACGTGACATATATGTATGGTTAAACCCCATTTATTTCATTTATATTTCAAATATAAGCTAAACAGCATTTGTTCTTTTTTTTAGACAAGTGCGGGATTTGGAGAATTTTAATTGATTTTTTTTTTTACAGTTAAGCCAATTAATATTTATATACTGTTGGTCTATATTAACACAGGGTACAATTTTATGGATACACTGGGTACAATTTTATGGATACACAGTTAGTGAGTTTAATACTTAGGGACGTTTCGACGAGGATATCCACGTCTTTATCAAGCAACTCTCTCTCTCTCCAAATTTTAGCACTCCTTCCAACCTGGATCAATTTGAATGAAATTTTCAGCAAATTGCCTTTACATTATGTAGTTTTTAACTATTATAGTGAGAACTGCCAACTCATTATCGAATCTCCCATAATGTATTTTTAACCCTGTCCAGTTTGTTGAAACAACCAGCTAAAAAAAACGATTTTTCGTACAATCTGGGGCCAAAGTCCAGGAAAAGATGATCTAATATGCGCAACTATCGCCAGGAACCAATATCTTTGGGTTATAAACATACTTTTCAAGTTTCATCAAAATCGGATAAATATTGTGACCTGAACGGTCCACTACATTGGTTTTACATACTACTACACTATTTGAGCACGAGATGTGGCCATTTTGTCTGTCACTTTTGGTCCGATTTTCAAGAAATATGAATTCAACCAACATTATGGTGTAACAACGGTGATATAATTTGAACGTTGTTTTAAATCTGATACAATTGCGACATCTAGATAGGAACCTGAAGCTAACAAAGCGATTTTTCGTACAATCAGAGGCCATAATTCAGGAAATCGAAAGGAATCAGGATCTTTGGCAGGTAGACCTATATTTCAAGTCTCAACAAAATCGAATAAAAATTGTGACCTATAGAGTCTCCACAATCAAATTGTTGACGGATGGACAGGGGCGACGACAATATACGTCTACTTAAAAAATGTGGGCGTATAAAAATATGACAGACTGTCTCTTTGATCTGGGATCTCCCCGACAACCACAACTATGTGTTTATTATATTTTATAATGTATATACCATCAATAACAATAACAATTATCATCATACTTTCCCCTAAATTTGAATCTTGAGAAAACTTTCTTGCGGCCTTGGAATTTCCATATTCTGTCGCATATTTTGCAATTTTCGCCCGCAATTCAGGTATATACATATTGTTTTCGGCCTTCAGTTTAACACCGCGTTTAGTTATTGAATCTTTCGATGATTTAGTCGGAGTTAACGCTTCAACAATCTCACTATTTGCGGCAGTAATATTGTCACGCTCCTCAACAGTGCTTGCATTATCGGGATTTGGCAAGCCGAGAATTTCCTCAGTAAAACAATTCACATTTCGTTTCGTTTTAGTTACAAATTTAAACATCGCCATTTTGAAAGTAATAAAAATGTCGCATGCCATGTGTTTTATAGTCGTTCGTCAGTTTGGAGTTAATCAAGGGATTTAATTTAACAATAATTATTTAAAAATTGAGTTTGATAACAGGTATTTAATTTTCTTTGATCTGTTGAATACAGACTCAAAGCCATAATCCTCAATAGTTGTTTATTTACTGTTACTAATGATCACCAATCAACCGATGTTTTGAGGAGCCGACTGTCACCTCAAAATTAACAATCTACCACATTTTATAGACAAATTTACTAAAATAAATTATTTAAATTCGCAAAAATTTCATGTCGCAATAATTTTTTCCCCACTATAGAAATTCGCAATAATTTCATGTCGCAATTATGTTTCACCACCCCAACTCGCAATAATTTCATGTCGCAAATATTTCATGTTTTACAGTATATGCATTAAAAGATGGTGAAAATGTAGAGTATTTATAAATTTAATTTGTATTGAATGTTTTTTTTTCAAGTTATTGCAGGGGACCTTTGTGGCTATGAAATAGGTGACTATTATAAATACACAGACAACAGGTATTGTCCTAATGGATGTTGTACTATCGGCAGTGACGCCACCTTTAACAACGTATGCTGCGATAACAGGTAACACGATTTTCAGAAACGTGTCAATTGTTTGGTCTTTTTGTGTTGAATTAAATAATGAGTATTGGTTTAGTTATCTACCTTGATGGACAAGTGTAATAATTTTAAGACTAAATCATTTCATTTTCTGTTTTAAAGTGTGAAATACAGATATTTGTTTTTCAGTATTTCTATCAGTATCATCATAGGAATAGTAATAGGTGTAGTTGCATTAGTTATCACTACCATAGTGGTGATAGTCATTATTGTATGCTGTTGCAGTAAACGACAATCAGCAACCCAGGGTCATGTTTTTGCAGCCCCAAACAAAGCTGTGGTATTTTCTAGTAAGTATTCACTAATACTTACAATTATTTTAGATATACGAATAAGTTTTATGTGATAGTGTACAAACATATGAATTCATCCATATCCTTCGTTTTGGTGAACCCATAGACTGACATTTAATTCGGATCTAGATAACCACCATTGATAATATTGACCGAATTATTAAGAAAAGGTCACAGTTTATATTATTCCTACATGCCATTCAGCCACAAACTGAAATAGGGTTTATCGCCCGACCTTTCTGCACCGACTGGGCTAATGAAAACGGGGGAACACCATAATATGTGCTATGAAGGACACTTTGATCGGATTGCCAAGTGTTCGTTTACATTCACGCCAACGTGTACACGGTTTTCCGTTCGATCCATACGACTGGACGCTAACTTGCACCCACTGGCAAGGGGAAGTCACGCTGCATAGTGAGCCAGCGCCTTACTTACCGAGCCATTGCGACTGTCGCTACAGCCATACACGGGATCATGTCAGCTAAGATTAATGGTTATATGAGACACTGACCCCTTCATCTCTATGGGTAGCTGTCTGTTTAATTAAAACATAACATACTCTCATATCAGTTATTTAAAAATGTAAACAATATTAATTAGAATTGTATCTTTCTATCTTACAGATACTACTCATACAAGTAACATGTATCCAGGAGTTAGTTATCCTCCACCAAACGCTTTTACCCCTCCACATGGAACAAATAACTCATCGTCGTCTCCAAGTGGACATTCCGCTAATCCACCATCTTATGATACAGTTACCTCCCCTGGACAAGATAGCAAGGGTTTCGATACACATGTCAACAGTAATTAGTTATGATTTAGAATTGTTATTAACTGTATATAGATAGAGTTACTATTTTTGATATTTTTTAATTATTTTCCGTTGAAATAGAATTTAAGAAGTCTTGCCTAGGTGAGTTACCTCACCTAAAAAAATAGCAAGGGCTTCGCTACACATGTCAACATGAATTAGTTATGATTTAGAGTTGTTACTCACTTTATATAAATGGAGTTCTTATCTTTGATATTTTTTCTAATATTTCGTTTGTATAGAATTTAAGAAGTCTTCCCAGATACATTAATGCGCAGAGACATTCATCCTCTGTAGTCGTGTGAAGCTACTTTTCTCACAAAAATACACACCATAAGTTTTCATTTTCTGTTCACTTGAGGAAACAAATAACTCATCGTCGTCTCCAAGTGTACATTCCGCTAATCCACCATCTTATGATACAGTTACCTCCCCTGGACAAGATAGCAAGGGCTTCGCTACACATGTCAACATGAATTAGTTATGATTTAGAGTTGTTACTCACTTTATATAAATGGAGTTCTTATCTTTGATATTTTTTCTAATATTTCGTTGGTATAGAATTTAAGAAGTCTTCCCAGATACATTAATGCGCAGAGACATTCATCCTCTGTAGTCGTGTGAAGCTACTTTTCTCACAAAAATACACACCATAAGTTTTCATTTTCTGTTCACTTGAGGAAACAAATTGGACGAATTCCATGCGAAGCAACATTATGAGTCGTAACTATAAGACCAGGTAAACTATAGGCTATTGAATTTACATTACGACATTAAACTTACAAACATATCCATGGGTATTAAAGAATACACTGTGATATATTAAATAATACACCAAGGAATTCGAGTAGCTACTGTAAATTTTTATGCAATTGTTTTGTTTTTTTTATACAAATGTAGGTAGATAGGCCTATCATTTAAATAATAGGCCTATCATTTACTAGAATTGATATTTGTTGTTTATTTCTTACTATGTCTGTGTGGTTTATCGTGTCCGCAGGTTTGTCTTTTTGGTTTAGTTTTGCCTGTATTGCGGTGCACCTGCATTTCCAATCCAAGTCCCTAGGCAGCTTTTTAAACAACTGTTTTGTCTATAAGTATCATTTCTACAAATATTTATTAAACTATTTGCAAGTTGAAATTTGCGATTCAAAAACATACACAAAAGACCACAAGCTGTGCACACAATCTTGTAGTGGGGGAATAATTCTAACGTATTTTGTTTATGTTTTTGAATCGCAAAATTCTGCTTGAAAATAGTCTTGGATTTTTCTAAAGGTGTATCATTCAAGGAAGAATTACAATGAAAAATAGAAGACCGTAGAACAGAGGTGAGGTAGAGCATTATTTGCATTTTCTTTGCATGTTAATAAGGGCGGACAGGAACGATCAGAGGAATTCACGATTCTTTACATAATATTATTTTCTTACAACGACCTTATATGTGGCACACTGAAATAACAATCTGTTATATATTCTATTGTGACTTGTATACATATTGAAATTGTTATATATATATATATATATATATCATAGTATAAAATATAAAAATAACACCGATTTGCTTTTATATTTTATACTATGATATATGATACTGTACATTAGAACAACAACTCACTACAGCTATATATATATATATATATATATATTTTGTTTATCTTTTTTTTTATTATTTCATAATAACCCATGTTGACTATAAGTAAAATAAGTAAAAAAAAATATCAATCTTGTAAACTGGTTTTCTAGAGGTCCAGATGAGCTATACCATAAAGAGAGAGAGAGAGAGAGAGAGAAATGGGGTTTAACGTCCACTCGACACAAACTAGGTCATTTCGGGACTAACATATGGTTCAATTTTATTTTCATAATTCGCTTGCGCGTAGGGGTCTTTAGCAGTTGGAGGAAACTGGAGGACCCGGATAAAACCCACGAAGTTGGACAGGCGACCCTACTCCTTGTCACGTACAGCTATACCATAAACAAAATCAATTACCATATATGTCTTTAAGCTGTATTATACAAGATTTAGATGCAGAGCTGACCGTTCTTGCTATTTAATAGTAATTCAGACATAGACAATGTAAAATTAATATATTCAACATATATTAAAATTACTTTATTCTGAACGACGTAATCACTGATGTTTTAGCACCACTAAGACAGGACACCGCGCCGTCTAGCACTGCCGGTAAATACGAAGACATTGACAAGGGGACACCACTTGTCCAGCAACACTGACAAAGGGACAACCAAAATGCATTCATTGAATCTTCCAATAATTTTAGTTTATAGAAATTAACATTGTATGATAATAACAGCCAAATTATGTACATCATAAATCGATTATCCTTGAAGCTCAACATTGTAAAAAACCTAGATTGCTTTCCTATAACAACTTTATTTTTAACACCTGAGCGTAGCTTTAACTATAACCTTTGTTGCACGGAAAACGATGAAAAGGTAAAAGGTGTGCTAATATTTTGATTTGTTTTGTGGGGTGGCAATACTGTTATACTATGCAATAGTATAAAACATAAATCCAAAATAGAGATAATAAGTTTAACAGATTATCAATGCGTATCCTCATAGTATTAAATTTATGTTGTTGCTGTAGGCGAAAACAGGTCAAGGTCAAGTTGTAACAACTCTGAGCACGACTGTTGTATATTCTATTAAGTATTTACTAACACTTGCATGTGCAGAGACGTTGTAGCTCAGTGTGTAAGAAGCCTGACTTGTGTATATCATTTGAGACCTAAAATTTAATATTGTATTTGAATCTATGTCAGTATTTTATATTTTTTTCATTCTTTCCTTATCTTTGACAGTCAATTTTAACACCATGATGTAAAGTTTAATATTGACATAAAAGAGCCATTTAAATGTTTTTACTCATTACTTGTATTATTCATTCATATATAAATAATGCAATTAAATTAACATTTTTAAGATATCTTGTATAACGTATTGGACGTTAAATTTGTAAAAACAACAACACCATTCTCTGTAGTCATGTGCAGTAATTTAAAGAACAATGCTCCCTATTCCTGAAATATACAAGAAGTGTTAAACATACATTATGCTAGAGCTAAATCTGCCTATTGCAGGTGTTTATTAGGCCTTAACTGTTATATAAACTATTAATTAGACATTTATTAACAAAACAAGACCATAATTAACTCTCGATGGCATCGGATACTCGAGATTTTAACTAGACTAGAACGGTTCGCCATTTAAAAATGGGAAAGCGAGGCTAAGTCTCGAATATACCAGTGCCCTGGTTACAAGTCACACATCTGGTCAAAACTACAAATAGTGATAACTTGGCTCAGAATGAAGTAATTTGGATGAAATTTTCAATATTTTCATTTTACATTATCTGTTTTGAGCTATTATAGCAAGAATGGTCAGCTCTTTATCTAAATCTAACATAATGTATCTTTAATAGTTACGGGATCTGGGAATAGACGAACCTCTTTACTTAGGTAACTCCATCCGTTAAGCAATAGGCATAGGACCAGTGCTGGGTTTAATGAAGGAGTGTCTAAGGCTATTCAACTATGAGGCCCCTCCCAATCCCGCAGGACTAGAGGACGATGAAAATGTGTTTTAAACAAAACTGGGCAAGGCCGAGAAAGATGACGGGTATTGCAAACTACACTGCGTGTTCGACAGTGTCTAAAAAAGTATATAACTTGACCAGAGCCGCCTATATCGTGTTGCACTAGGCTTCGTGCAGTCTGTCAAGCCTATCTGGTAAATCCTAGATCGTGTTTCCCTAAGCTTCTATCTGACAAGCCTATAGGTAAACCCGGCACTGATAGTTCCCTTGGTTGGAGGACCCCTAGATCTCGAGGTCATGCCTATAGGTAAGCATTGCGGTCATGGGAGGATGAATCCTATTGGTAATCATCATTCTGCGAAATTTTGTTATGTTAGCCTAATGTCCTTTAACGGAATTGCTCAAGCTTTTAAACAGACATCAGACATCATGAAGTTATCCTTATTATATGTGGCCAACATACCAGTTTTTCTTTCGGATAAGCTGCAGTCGAAACATTGCTGCGGCGTCAGCATATTTCCATGCTGTGAGTGACTGTTTAGGTAAGGACCACAGATCACTGCCCTGGAGCCCATCTGCCTTGCTTGTATTTTTTTTTATCTGATAGACACGAAAAAACATAGTCATCTCCAGGAGACGATATGCATATCATATGAGTCTTTAGTTACATTTTTCCCGAAACGGTATGAACACTTTTTTAAAACTTTTCTGAATGTACTGCCATCTGCTAAACATTCCATCACCCGTCCAGTTTCATAGTTCGTTCCCCGTTTTCGCAACACCCCCGAAAATCGACAGGATTGTCCTCTCAGGCCCCAATGCGTCACACTTTATTTGTAGCGTGTATGACTCAATAAACCAACTGTTGATTCACGGACCATACTTCCTTCTTAATACAACAAGTCATTGAATAAATATCCAATGATAGGCATTTAAATGAAAGGGGTGTGACATGTATTTACTGTGTATTGTCATATCCGCTATACAGTAACCTATTTAATGCCCTTTAACAAAGAGTATTTATTGAATACAATAACATATCACACGACTCCTTTATGCAATAAGAACATACAGTGGGCTGAACCGAATAATGTAGGTTTTATTGAATACAACGGTGTAGCCATTTTGAAAGTTTGTTAAAGACTAAATTCGACTAATTCTACTTCAACTGGATTAATACCTTGCGAGATCAGTATTTTGTAATGGCCGATGTGTTCAATATGACGTTTTACCTGCTCTTTTTAATGTCGTTTATACAAGGTAAAGTGTTGTTTATTCAAAACCTAGTAGTTTCACAATGTTAGTCATTGTATATTTATAATGTCCGACCACGTCCTAGTATACTTATAATGTTAGATCAATGGTAGACCTAGTAGATTTATAATGGTAGACCTATCTATTAGATTCTTAATGTTACAGGTATGATAATAAGTGATTGACCTAGTGATATGTGGTCATAACGGCCCTAAACCATAACGGGCAAAATTAACATTGTTCAAAACGGGCAAGAGTGTGGTCAAAAAGGGCCAAAAGATAATTTAAAAACTATATATTTTACAAAACAGTAATACTTCCTTGTAACCTGGACGGGAAAACTTCCTTTGTTCTTTTCGTTGAATAAGCAGATTGTTTTCCCTCTAGTAGAGTGGGTGGAGCTTAACCGTGCAATAACTAGACATGTTCAATATTATGGAACTCTTTAGTTTTAGTAGAAATCATATAGAGAAGTGGGATAGGGTTTTATGTGCAATAACAACAAGCATGTTGAGCAGGTGTCATTATTCGTTAACAGGTTTAACATCGCAGCCTACGGCCTCAATGTTTAAACCTGTTAACTCATGAGAGTCGTGCTATAAATATAACTTAATAAAAATCCCTAGATCTACTGGCTATTTATTATCCATTTAATAAAAATAACAATATGGTTTCAACTAATCAACATAATGAATTAAATGCCCATTGCCAACCAGGAAAATTACATGCCCATTTTCTAAGGAAGAGAAAGTACTAATAAATCAACTGATTTGTTAATCCCAAATTTAGTACTCCAAAATCTTCTAAGCTATTTGGGATTGATTATCATTGTGATACTCAGCTATCTGAAGACTTCATGTGTGCCGATATCAAAGACAAACTACTAGCCAGTTATTATTATTAGCCAAGCCCTGCTGTCGGGTAAAATGGTGCCACTATGGTATATTATGCTTCTAACACTACTTATTCAATACATATTTTATTCAATACACAGTTACGTATTAATATGAGCTGAAAAACGCCAGAGCTTACATTACATAAATTCATCAACAATAAAAAAATTGTTCTTTAGGATTTATAACTTCATCATAAATTGAAGGTCTAATTGATATTGAAAATTTAGATAGAGAGAGATTCTATATGTTGAAGTATGTCTTTTTCATTTCCAGACATTGCTATGTTAGATTGATGTAAATAAATATCATTGTATAATGAGAATGAATAACAAATATTATATAAACCATTTTGAAATTTAATAGGCCGTATTTACCAAATTGTTTGATCGTTTTGACCAAATCTTTGGACCAGTATGGGTTAAGGCCGTTCTGTCTATAACCCGTATATTTATTTGGTCACAAGTTTGATAATAAGCGGTCAACCTTGTGTTCCTCGTTCCGTCCTACTCCACTAAACCATGGGACCATTGACCAGATTTTCAAGAATTCAATTTATCTGCCCTTCGTCAGTTCATTAGTCACGTAAGTTGATTCTACAAACCAATCAAAAAGCAGTTTACATACCAGTCTTAGCGTCATTGTTTACCATCACCGCAATACAGCAGCTTTAACACTCGATTATTTGAATGTTTGCAAGAGATCTAAGATCAAACAAGTGACATGCACGCAAAAGGATGTCCTAAAATATTTTGACTAAAGTTTGCAATCACGATTAAGTGATCTCAGTTATTATAAAAAGCGAGTTACTCCCCGTCATCAATTCGGTTTCGATTTATATAAAATTTATAGAATAATTTGATTGGGCGATAAAAAGTAGCATAATTATCAAGGGCGATAATTTGACTATGTGTCGCCTCCGTGAATGGGTCTAAGGTTTAGTGGAGGAGAACGGAACATTTGCACTGGCAATATCGATTAATCCTTGTTATGCATATTAAAGATAGATTATGGGAGATTAGATAAAGAGTTGACAGTTCTCACTATAATAGTTAAAAACTAGATAATGTAAAAGGCAATTTGCTGAAAACTTCATTCAAATTGATCCACTATGAACCGAGAACAAGGCGATTGAATTTCGTTCTAGCCTTGATCACCATTACTAAAGTCAGTACGATAAACAGCATAGTCTCGATTATCCATTTAATCGTTAAATCGTGAAGGAAAGTTATGCAGTAAATCGGCTCACAATCCACTAAATATAGCAGACTTGCGATGCCATATAGAGTTGATTATGGTCTGGATAGGTTAATTAATGTCTAATTAATAATTTAGATAACATTTCAGGCCTAAATAAAGACCTACAATAGACAGATTTAGCTCTTGCATAATATATGTTTAAAGCTGAACTCCGATTACAAAATTACAGAAATAATTAAATAAAAAAAACGGTAAAGCTCTAAACGACTGCCATACTTGTTTTCAATTTGTAGAACAACAATGGCGATCGCTTTGGGCAAACAAACTCATAGTCAGGCCACACCCACTTCCAGTAAACGCCGTATCAAGCAAGGTATCCACATCCGGTTACCTGTCAACTAACAATTACCTCTTGATTGATTGATGTTTTTTCACTATCAGCTCACAGAAAATGTTATTGCTACACAACTGTTATGTCTGATGTAACCGGATGTGGTCGCCTTGCTTGATACGACGTTTACTGAAAGTGGGTGTGGCCTGTCTATGTGTTTGTTTGCCCAAAAGCGATCGCCCTTGTTGTTCTACAAATTGAAAACAAGTATGGCGGTTGTTTTGGACGTTACCTTTTTTTTTATTTTATTATATCTGTAGTTTTGTAATCGGAGTTCAGCTTTAACTTTCAAATGTGAGCTCAACCCTAAAGCAAGGGCACTTATGTTAAAAGTAGGCTTTATTTCGTTTATATGTGAACACATCACAATATTTTTACCCTTTTATTTACACCCAGTGTGTAGATCACTCATTCATCTAACTGTGTGTACAACTTAATAATTCCTGCTAGTAAACGCGTCAAACAAGATATTCGGGTGGTACTAACATGGATTGGGTAATACAAGGTGGACGTGTTGTGTCCTTCCGAGGTGGACAGTACAGACCAATTATAGTTATAATGATACACATAGTATAGTGGCCGTACACTCTTGGAGACACGAGGATAATTCAGTCCAGAACGAACTCTATATTCACGAAGCAATTGCCCGCGAAATCTCTCTCTAGTCAATGCTATACTTTATTGGAGCGAAAATTTGGATTTTTTATCGTCCTATTAAAGTGTTGAAAGTCTTAACCCTGTCCAGTTTGTTGAAACAACCAGCTGTGCTAGGCTAGATAACGCCCACATTTTGCAATTAAGGATGGATAAAGAAGAAGCTAAAAAAAAGGGATTTTTCGTACAATCTGGGGCCCAAATCCAGGAAATGATGATATAATATGCGCGAATATCGCCAGGAACCAAGATCATTGGGATTAAACATACTTTTCAAGTTTCATCAAAATCGGATAAATATTGTGACCTGTAGAGGGTTCACAACTTTGGTATTACATACTTTTACACTATTTGCGTACGAGGGGTGGCCATTTTGTCCGTCAGTTTTGGTCCGATTTTCAAGAAATATGAACTCAACCAACATTATGGTGTAACAGTGATATAATTTGAACGTTGTTTTAAATCTTATAAAAATTGCGACATCTAGATAGGAACCTCGGGCTAACAAAGCGACTTTTCGTACAATCAGAGGCCATAATACAGGAAATCGAAAGGGACCGAGATCTTTGGGAGGTAGACCTATAGTTCAAGTCTCTTCAAACTCGGATAAAAATTGTAACTTATTGAGTCTCCCCAATCAAATTGTTGACGGACGGACAAGGGCGACGACAATATGTGTCCACATAAAAATGTGGGCGTTTAAAAATATGACGTAATATGACAGGCTGTCTCTTTGTATTAAACTATATGTATTAAAAGATGGTGAAAATATAGAGTATTTACAAATTTAATTTGTTTTGTTTGTTTTATTTCAAGTTATTACAGCCGAGTTTTGTACCTATTATTATGACTATTATATCAACTCAGACACCCGGTATTGCTCTAATGGATGTTGTATTTCCGGCAACAGCGCCACCTATAACAACGTATGCTGCCCTGACTATGCTACTAGCAGGTAACATGATTTTCAGAAACATGTCGATTTTTTGGTCTTTTTGTGTTGAATTAAATAATGAGTAATGAGTTATCTCCCTTGATGGACAAGTAATAATTTTAGAGAGAGAGAGAGAGATATGGGGTTTAGCGTCCACTCGACACAAACTAGGTCATTTCGGGACTAACACATGGTTCAGGGTTTTTTTTTGTATAATTCGCTTGCGCGTAGGGGTCTTTAGCAGTGGGAGGAAACCGGAAGACACGGGGAAAACCCACGAGGTTGGAAAGGCAATAATTTTAGAATACATCAATATCATTTTCTGTTTTAAAGCGTGAAATAAATATATTTGTTTTTCAGTTCTAATGTCGGCGTCATCGTAGGAATAGTAGTAGGTGTAGCGGTATTAATTATCACTGTCATAGTGGTGATAGTTATTATAGTATGCTGTTGTTGTAAACGACAATCAGCAACACAGGGTCATGTTTTTGCAGCCCCAAACACAGCTGTGGTATTTTCTAGTAAGTATTCACAAACACTTAACCATTCTTTTAGATATACGAATAAGTTTTATGTGATAGTGTACAAACATATGAATTCATCCATATCCTTCGTTTTGGTGAACCCATAGAGGGACATTTAATTCGGAACTAGATAATATTGACCAAATTATTAAGAAAAGATCACAGTTTATATTATTCCCACATGCCATTCCCACACAACATGAAATCGGGTTTAACGCCCGACCTTTCTGGGCTAATGAAGGCGGAGGAAACACCATACTATGTGCTATGAAGGACACTTTGATCGGATTGCCAAGTGTTCGTTTACATACGACTGGACGCTAACTTGCACCCACTGGCAAGGGGAAGCCACGCTGCATAGTGAGCCAGTGCCTTACTTACCGAGCCATTGCGACTGTCACTACAGCCATACACGGAATCATGTCGGCTAAGATTAATGGTTATATCAGACACTGATCCCTCCATCTCTATGGATAGCTTCCTGTTTAATTAAAACATGACATAGTCTCATAATATCAGTTATTTAAAAATGTACACAATGCTAATTATTTAGAACTGTATCTTTTATCTTACAGATACTACCCAAACAAGTAACATGTATCCAGGAGTTGGTTATCCTCCACCAAACGCTTTTACCCCTCCACATGGAACAAATAACTCATCGTCGCCTTCAGGTGGACATTTCGCTAATCCACCATCTTATGATACAGTTACCTCCCCTGGACAAGATAGCAAGGGTTTCGATACACATGTCAACATGAATTAGTTATGATTTAGAATTGTTATTAACTGTATATAGATAGAGTTACTATTTTTCATATTTTTTAATTATTTTCCGTTGAAATAGAATTTAAGAAGTCTTGCCAAATACATTATTGCACAGAGACCCACCATCGTACGATACAGTTACCTCCCTTGGACAAGATAGCAAGGGCTTCGATACCCATGTCAACATAAAATAGTTATGATTTAGAGTTGTTATTAACTTATATAGATAGTTACTATTTTTGTTAAATTTGTTTTATTTTCCGGAAAAATATAAAATTTAAGAAGTCTTGCCAGATACATTATTGCACAGCGACCTTCATCCGCTTTCCCCCCATTTCCGAGAGAATCAACATTATAAGCTGTAACTATAAGACCAGGTGAACTATAGGCTATAGAATTTATATTATGACATTAAATTTACAAACATAACAATGTTTATTACAAAATACACTGTGATTTATTAAAGAATACAATCAGGAATCTGGATAGCTACTGTAAATATTTATGCAATTGTTGATTTTTTTAAAAACAAAAGTAGATAGATAGGGGTATCATTCATTTGTTGTTTATTTCTTACTATGTATGTAGTTTGTCTTATATGTGGTATACTAAAATAACAATCTGTTTTATAATATGCCCTGTATCATCGTGATACATATTGAAAGTGTTTATATATATTTTGATTATTTTTTTGTACTTTTTTTTATTATGTAATAATCAGGATATATTATCGATGTTGACTATAGCAAGTCATTTGTGTTGCCTTGTAATATATATTCGATGTTGACTATATCAAGTCATTTGTGTTGCCTTGTAATTATAGTAAAATAAATAAATACAAATCTAGTGACTTGGTATCCTAGAGATCAAGAAGACCTATACCCTATTTTAAAGTCCGTAACTCAATATCATCCAAAATCTTCGACATTGAAAACACGAATTTTTTTGCAATTTAAATCAGCATTGGTGTTGTGATCTTACCTGGAAAAGATGGGCTTCTCATATCCAATATTTAAGACAAAATAAACATTTTACCATTGGTACACGAATCGTGTACCATAATGCGTTTCAGCGCCATTTGTAACAAGGTGCTCAAAGAATGGGGTTAGACATATTCCACAAGTCATGTCAAACGGTGATATCATATTCTTATTTGGAGAGCATGCGCAATAAATAATATCGGTGTTGACTGGAATAACCAGACTCTAGAAACTGACTTGCGGTTGAGACTTCTGGCGTATTTCGCCGAACATAACTAATGACAATTCACAGTAAAACGGACACGATTGAATGTAAAACAGTTTATATAAATTCATATTACATTATTATGTGTGTTGCGACTCATTTGTGCCAATTTCTAGGTCGAAAATATTAGCGATTTAGCTCCTTTAAATCAATTACCAAAATCAATTACATTACGTAAGATTTAGATAAAGAGCTGACCGTTCTTGCTATAATAGATCAAAAATAGATAATGTAAAATAAATATATTGAATAATTCATTAAAATTACTTTATCACTGTTTTGAGTTTTTAAAAGATGTGGCATTGATTGTTTATTATCGTAACAACAGTGATTGTTAATCGCGATTGGACCTCCTTTCTCCATTTTTAAATTAAATCATTAAATGGTCGAAGAGTTCTAATCTACTTGAAGTCGGAATCATCCGATTCCTAGATCGTTGATTAGGGACCTGTCATGTTAATAGGTGTTTAAGTATTAGTTTATACAATTTAAAGCAAAAATAAAGACCTGCAATACATTTAGAACCAGCAGTGTAAGTTGTGCATCAATGCTAAATTTACAAAATGCCAATATGCTGAGCGTCACATAACTTCATGTTCTGGCTTGGTAGCAATTTCCGACATGAAACATCCAAATTGCCCAGATGGATAAGTAAACCACGACATTCAATGCAGAAGATCAAGTAGATTATATGGGTTTCTGTGGCAGAACCAAAACATTAATAATTCCCAGAAAGGACCGAAAATGAAACCGACAGTATTCTGATTTATAATTCTTTCCTTTTGGCGTTTTCTGTAATTCCAGATTTTGTAGCTTGATAGTGTCACATATCAATGCTTAAAACTCTCTACGCTACCGCTCAATTTTGACTACTATAAAAACATCGTATGCTATACCACTTCTGTGTCCATATGATCAACTCTATTCAACAATAAATCTCAATGTAGGCACATTGGAGGAAATAACATTTCGAAAAAAATATTTTTGTAAAATGCATTAAAACAAATAACGAATAAAATAGCTTATGTTGTAGTTGAAAATAGAGATCATCATATTTTGAGCGGGTGAAAAAAGTATATTTTCATCAATGTGTCTGAAATTATAGCTTAAGACTATTAGCAATTTTATATTCAGTTTATCTTTTATTTTCCTGAAAGGAGAAGCCATGTAAATGTGCAGTTGCCACACTGAAAAAACCCTTGTGTTGGATCTCAACACAAGAACTTGTGTTAAAAATATTTAACACGTTTGTGTTGTATTGCATTGCAATGACACAAGTTTGTGTTTTTTTCAATGTCTTAACACAAACTTGTGTACATTTATAAAATCTTATGTGTTTTTTTTCCATATAATTAATTACGTTGACATTAAAGATAACATTTATTATGTTCCTTTATCACTAGCCTATATGTAAAACCACTCTTCCTGAATTTGAATGTCGAGTAATTCACTTGATTTATTTTTTAATATTTCTAATTATCTAAAAGGATATATTAATTATTACAAACATTAAGTAGAAATCGCAATGTATGTATCGTGCGATGCATTTAATATCTCTTTTAAAACAACGTATTTTATAACAGTATACTGATATAAGATATCAAAGTTTTAGTCAATTATTATCTAAATATAAACTATTTATTTAATTAGATATAATAAAAGATTATTCTGATTCTACTATTTGTATATTTTCACATCTTGTCTCAAGACAATATACAGAGACAGGTTATTACAATGTCTGCATTTGGAAGTGTTATATCTACGTTTTAAAAAAATGTTTGAATGGGCGTGGAAATAGTCGAGTTAATCTTTTTATTTAATTTAATTGGTTCATTAATCGAAATTGGAAATTTATTCTTACCTGTAAATGACCAATTAAAATGAATTACTCTTAAAACAGAGAAAGAAATATTTATTGAAGTAATTTTGCGGTATTAAACCCTGTGGTACTGCAAATGTTAACTGTATTATTAAGCATTAGTATCGAAAAAAGTGATATTGTTGTGAAAAAAGTTTGTTCAGAAAATAAGAATATCAGGTTTGTGATTTTGGTATTTTTTAATACAATGTATTTATAACGCAAATTTTTCGTTTCGGTTAAAACAAAATATACCTCCATTTTAATTGGCCGAAGGATGTGTGACTAATAGAAATATGGCGGGCGGACAAACTGACCAAACAGTATATTTCGAGGTATTTGAGGTAAGCTAATTTAATATTATATCATAACTGCATGTGCATAATTGTGTTTCTGTTTGATTAAATATTCAAAAAATCATTCTTAGGATACAACCTCGACACCAGTCCGCCCTGAATTGCAATGTTTGTTTTGTGTTCTGGGCGCCATTTTGAATATAATACAATCCAGCGATAGTGTAGTCTAATTCCTTTAAAAGGGAATCCGAATTTGTTAATTTTCTGCAATACCACTTCGGTGGAAGCGGACGTTAAATAAAGCTATTTCACGTACAAAGACCTACAATAAAATCCAGGTGAATTTGGAAAAATATTCATGTATTTTCTTGATGAAGAGTAGCTATTTCAATTTGTAAATGCCCAGTCATCTTAGACAAATAATAATTCCAACTTCAAATCAGTTGTATTTATTCAAATCATACCATGAAGAATTGTATTTTTCCACTTGCATAATAATAAAAACTTGACTTTTATTATTTTATGGAGCATGGAAAATTGGTAATTGCCTTGTATCACTGCTAACTATAAATCACAGGGAGCCTTGGGCAGAAATGATAATATGGTTCTCAGATATGTTACTGTGTACAGACTGAACAGAAAATATTTATACACTTGCTATTACAGTACTGGCCAAATTAATAGCAATTTTTTCTAAAAACGTTGCAGAAGTAACTCACTAAAATTGAAGTATGAATAAAATCATACACCGTGAATATATTGAACTGAATATTCTTACACATGCATAGGCGTACGGGGAAATTTTTGACTGGGGGCGGTGGTGGTTGGTGCCCCAAAAATGTAGTTAGGTTCTTAATATGTTACATAATAATAATAAATTCGCTGTTAAATTGGACACATTCAAGAACACAATATTTTTTTATACAACTTTTACAAAGTACAATTGTGTGCCCAAATTTTCCCAGCATTTGGTTCCCAGCCCCCCCCCCCCCAGCTCGTACGCCTATGCACATAACCATATTGACATCTACTTCACATTGCATGGTTGGTCGACGCAACGCCGTGTATAGATAAAGTTGCGACAACTGTGAAGCCAGGAATTTCATATGACGTCATGCAAACTTATTATCTATTTATATGACCTATTATATTGTTGGATGTCATAGATTTCAGCGAAAAGGTGTATATAGGACATAAAACATACATTTTTTAAACGAAAAGTATAGCTGAACATACTATTTTTAGTATTATACAACAAGAAGCGCACATTATTGTTATATAGCCTTATTCTATAAGAAAAATCAAAATAAAAGATACACTAGATAAAAGTACTATTAAACCAGGGGCGGATCTAGGAATTTTGAAAAGGGGGGGGGGCGCTGCAAAATGAAGGCATTGACCGCGGAGACGGGGCTTGCCGCTGAGGGGGGGGGGGGGGGCCCAAGAAAATTATCCGTCATTTCCTTGCATCTGTAGCCATTCCAAGAGCTATTTCCCAGACTGGTGTGTTTGAGTCGATGGTTCGAGTCATTTGGGATCCCTACAACGGGTTGGGAACGGACATATTTGAGTCTGAGAAACGGCACTTTCAGCCGTAAAAAAGGGCACTGTTGAAAATTAGGGGGGGGGGGGGCTCTGATTAAACATATTTAACTTGCATTCGCTTTTAAAGGAGCTAAATCGCTAATATTTGGGAACTAGAAATTGTCACAAATGGGTCGCACTAACCTTGATGTTGACAAATACGTAAGACGATATGAACATCAAGGTGATATATGCATATATGCAGCATAGATAATTAAAACTTCTATTCAAGTTAAACCAACTGTATCTATTTATGTCTTACGTCGAGCTGAATACATTTTATGATTTATTGTTATTAAAACATCTATTGGTGGTTAACAGTGTGTAACTAAAAACTAAAATTGGATCTTATTATTGCCAATGATATAATGTACCTTGAATTTTTTATCACGAAGTCTATCGCATCCAGATATTTAAAGCGCGTTTACAATATATTCATTTTTTTGTATCGTAAAATTCATCTTCATTTGACGAACTACACCCAAACTACAGTCAGTGTAAACACGGTTTGCAGACTGTATCTGAACTACAGGGTACATCGAACTACAGTGTACATCATGCTTAAGAGACACTATCTGATATCCAACAGGAAAAATGACGATTAATTTAATATCCGCCAATTGGTGTTGCTGCTATTTTGTATTTTCAAAATTTATCTTCAAATTCAGAGACATCGAAAACCATATAAAGGACATTGCAAAAGTCATATCTTACGTATCTTAAGAGATGCCCTTTTAGTCTACCAAATTTATGTTTTTTTGTTAAATTGCCTTATACATGTATTACCAAATTCGGTAGCCCTTTTAAAAGAAATGCCCGGCACCACATGGAAATTACATTTCTTTAATTGATGTTTGTCAAATTCGATTTCCGCACATTTCGCGTACATAACCACGATATAATGGTCGAACATTACGTACATCAGATAAACTATTTTTAAAGCCCAAAACTGTTCAACTAGTCTCTTTTAGTTATCAAGCACCTGTTTTATGGGATAATCTACCATTTAGTTTAAGATGTTGTACATCTCTATATTCTTTTAAAAAACAACTTAAATCACATTTATTTAATGAGGCTTTTAACTGACTCTGTATACAATTGTTAACATGTCCATAATCTTGTTGTTTATTTATGATTACATTGTCACTTTGTAAAGTGCCCCTGAACATGTTTTATGAAAGGGCGCGCTATACATATGCTGTAATAATAATAAGAATAATATTACCAAATTTGGCGGCCATTATGAAAGAAACGCCCGGCACCATGTATGAGGAATTTAAAAAGAAATCATTTACAATCCAACGAGTAAATAGTAAAACACACTGATTACGAGATATCGCTCTCAGAAAATTCCCCGATTTTGGGTATGATTTTGTTTGATATATTTATCACTGAACCAAACTGCATTGGTTTCTTTTGCATTTTTTTTTAGGGTAAAACGTTATATTATCCCTCAACGTCTAATACTGCAAGAAAAAAACAAATTTTGGTATGTAAACCTGTATGAAGCCATGACGTCATAGCTTTTATGGCGTCATCAT